ATGCAAACGACTCAGCTGCTCTGAGCCACAGTTTCCTCCTCCGTGAAGACAGGTAGCAGTGCTGCTTCACAGAGTTCTTCGTCTTCAGAGAGACCGTGAATGTAAAACACCGGGCCCCAGGGCTGGGCCCCTGGTGGGTGCTCTGTGGGTCTTCAGTGCTCTCCTCTCTGGTCGGACTCTCCAGATCCCTAATCCTCTTTCCTGCTAATGCCCACCTGAGGGGTCTGAGGAAGGTAGATTTCTGGAGTGAGGACAGTGGTCTGTGTCCTCCCTTCTCGGCTACTCTTAGAGAGGGGAGAAGTGACCTTCTTTCTGGGCAGACACCTCCTCTCCTCCCCTGCCTCTCCTCTGGTAGCACACAGAGGTTGCCGAGTGGCACACCAACCCGTACAGTGTGCACGTGTAAGACGTCTCTGTGCCAGGCAGAGCATCTGCTATGTGCCTGGAACTTTCCAGTACACTCTTCATCCTCAGTCACCACCCCATGAGGTAGGGATGTATAAGCTCCATTTAAGAGATGAGAAAACTGAGGATAAGGACGTGAAGTGACTTTCTCAGAGTCACGGTGCAAGTCAGGGCACAGCTGGAATTTGAACTGGAGGTTATTGGAGACACCCACTGGCCTCACATAGAACCTTGCACATAGTAGGTGCTCAGGAAGTTGCGGGTATAGTAAATTCCTGTCTGTCCATCCTGGGTGGGGATCAGCCAGTGCGTGTCCCTCCTGCTGCTGCTCAGGTCTGGCTTGGGGGCTCCAGGGGTGGAGGCAGGATCTGGAGGCTGTAAGGGAAGAGGTGGGAAAGAGCAGGGTACCTAGCTCTCAGCAGCCGCAGGAAGTCTGCATACATGTCATTGAAGGTCGCCTCGATCACAGGACACAGCTGCAACGGTACAAACGCAGGAGCCCCATCAGCGAGGGCCAGAGGCAGCCATGTAGCGACTTGTGCTAGGCCCCACCTGCCTGAGTCTCGCTGCTGTGCCCATAGCACAGCAGTGAGTGTGGTGTGTCCACACTGGTGTGTCCACTTCCCAGCCACCCCTGTAGCAGGTTGAGACCTTTGGCAACGGTTTATCCCTTGCCCTGTACCCAGGGTGCACCTGGTCTGCCACCTGTCCTCCCAACTGGGCTTCTTGTCTTGATCACAAGAGCCCATGTCTCCATAAGAGGGAAATGGAGAATTCACTTACTCATTTGACTAGCCATTACAGAGTTCTTTCTACTGCCAGACTCTAGAAGGGAGGCCGGCTACACAGCCTGTGGCTCCTGAACAGCTTCTTTGCACCCTTTGTGTGTTTCCACCCCTAACACCTCCCTTTGCCCACTGAGAAACTCTCACTCTCTTATTTTCTGTAGAGCACATGCATCACCTGAGGGGGGCGGGGAGAGATCGTGAGCCCCCAGGGATATGGCTACACTACAAACTCATCTCCTTCATTCTCCTCTTAGGATTTTGGGCACACGCACACAGGTGCCCGGCATGTTTTTCAAGTTTCCAGGTCTAGGACTTGAACTGTGCAGCTGGCTATGTGGGATCCAGTGCCTTACCCAACATGCCACCTGCTGGCATGTCCACTGAGCAATTCTCTTTCTAAACTTGCCAGCGGTTCTCAACTGCAGATAATTTCATTCACCTGGAGACATCTGGAGGTTTCTGGGAACATTTTTAGCTGTTTCAACTTGGGGGGGCGGGGAAGATGAGGGTGTTACTGGCAGTTGATGGACAGAGCCCAGGGATGCTACCAAACAACCCATGATGCACAGGGCAGTCCCATGACAGATCATCCAGCCCAAATATTGGTTGTGCTGAGGTTGGGAAACTCTGGCCTCACCTGTGGTGTTCAAGGAGGGAGTTAAACAAGTGACTCATTTGTTCACAGGACTTTGTTCTCTGCTTAAAGGCAGCCCATTTTGCAGGGCACTGCTCCGGGATAGCTGAGGTCATTTTGTCTTACGTGCAATTGCCCTAGGGGAAGAACCTTCTAGTTGACCACCTCTTAATACTCCCAAGCAATGACAGTGCATTTTGAGAAATGTTAGTTTTTTCATGAATAACTGTCCCTGCTTCCAGCTGCTTTGTCACCTAGAACCTAGAGAGAATGGAAGTATCAGCTCAGATACTACCAGGGACTGCCGGTCCTTCATTTCTACCAGTGGGTAGATGCTGGCTACACTTTAGAGCCCTCTGGGATACCACCAACCCACCCAGACCAGTGACTTCTGAGTTGGGAGAAGGACCAGATGTCAGTGTTTTAAGGCCTCTCAGATTCTGATGGTTCCTAGCTGCGACGGGGTTGAGATTCTGGATTTACATTGAAAAAAGGGTTTTAACCTTTTCTAAACGAGCTTCTGCCAGATAGATGCTCACCTCTTAAACATGCCAGGCCTTTACTATTAGGGCCAAATAAAATATTCATAGGACCCTTGTACCAGATCCAGTGGATCATAGCAGGAAACACGAGGATAGCTGAAATGCATTTGTCCTGCATTTTTACATTATTCTCTAACTTTGGTTTTTCACCCTTAAAGACAGATACTATACAAAGAGTGGGTTCTTTTCTTTTCTTTCTTTTTTTTTTTGGAGAGGTTTTTGCTATAGGGCGCGTGTGCTTGCTAGAAAGACAGAGAGAGACAGACAGAAAGTGAGAAATCACCCCCCAAGGGCGATAGCCATGCCGCAATCCCATCTCCTCCATTCTCCTCTTGGGATCTTGGGCACGCATGCACACGCGCCCAGCGTGAGTTTAAGCCACCAGGTCCAGAACTCAAACTATGGTTGACTACATGGGAGTCCAGAGACATAGCCATTACGCCATCTGCTGGTCCCACAAAGAGTGGTTTCTAATTTCTAGAGGACAATGTATTTTTAACTATTAAAGTCTGATGCCAAATGAAATATGATTTTGCTAGAAGCTGGGGGAAATTTTATAGATGAGCCCTGCTTTACAATAATTTCATCCTTTAAATTGAAAAATAAAAGTCTTTAAAGAAAAAAGATCTTATCTTCAAAAAGCCCAATTTTATATTATTAATTTTCAGATTCCCTTAGAAAAGCTCCCTAGATATGTACCTTTGTTAATGGATAGCAGTCTACAAATTCTAACAATAGTAAACCATTGTCTTGACTGAAATATTACACACTTAAATTCATTCATATTCATTCCCTCTTCTCCCCTCCCATTGATCTCTGTCTCTCCTCACCCTCTTCTACAAGATACTAGAGAAAGTATTACATTGGACTGCATCAGTATTGTTTGTTAAATTAACATTTTAAAATTTCATTTGAGCTTTGTTAAGTTTTTGATTATTCCCATATTCTTCCTTGGTTTCTTTCTTTCTTTTTTTTTTAGAATTATTTTACTTAACTTTATTTATTATTTATTTATTTTTATTTTTTAATTTGACCGGGGAGGAGGAGGAGAGAGAGAGAGAGAAAGTGAGAAAGTAAGCCGCTAGGCCCATGACTTGAACCACTGTTGGCCATGTGGGAATCCAGTACCCTTAACCACTACTCCACCTGCTGGCCCCATTCCTTGGTTTCTTTAATGTGTACATATCTAGTCTATTAAAACAATAGCTTGGGACCAGCAGTTGGCGTAATGGATATGTCACTGGACTCCCATGTAGTTGACCATGGTTCGCATCCCAGACCTGGTGACTTAAACTCATGCTGGGTGTATGTGTGTGCGTACCCGCCCAAGATCCAGGGAGGAGAAGGGATTGTGGCATGGCCATTCCCACTGGGGGGTGATTATTTCCTTTCTTTTTCTCTCTGTCTTTCTGGTGAGTGCACGTGCCCTATAGCAAAATCCTCTCAAAAAAAAAAAAAAAAAGCTCTTTCTTTGACAAATGTGATCCTTTTATGCAAACTGAACATCTTAACCCTGACTTAATAAAAAACCAAACATATAATTGTGTATTGTGTGAACTATTCATAATTTCACAAAAAGAAGGCAAAATGTTTTACCATACTTTTCTTGAAGGCAAGAGAATGGAAGAGAATCTGGAGAAAAACTGGCATCTCCATTCTTTTAAAATACTCTTACTAAACTTACACTGATGATATAAAATGTTGTATCATTACTGGCATATTAGAGTACTCTTCATAAAATCCATTTTTTTTTTTTTGGAGAGATTTTCGCTATAAGGCGCGTGCGCTCGCCAGACAGACAGAGAGAGACAGAGAGACAGAAAGTGAGAAATCATCCCCCGGGGGGATGGTCACGCTGCAATCCCTTCTCCTCCATTCTCCTCTCGGGATCTTGGGCACGCACACACACGTGCCCGGAGTGAGTTTTAAGCCACTGGATCCGGGACGTGAACCGCGGTCGACTACGTGGGAGTCCAGCAACATAGCCATTACGCTAACTGCTGGTTCCCCATAAAATCCATTTTTAAAAAATGGCCAGCTCAGCCTCTGTGGTACAGCCCATAGCATACAGGACAGCAATACTGGAAGCCATGTGCTGACTACGGGTTTGGATTCTCGGGTCCGCTTGAAAACACGCCAGACATGTGCATGGGTGCCCAAGATCTGAGGAACTGGAGAGGTGAGGACAGGGGATTGAGACTTGAGACACTGTTGAGGGTGGTTTTTCTCTCTGGCATCATGTACATGTTCTATCATTTAAAAAAAGCCTCCTGGGGACCAGCAGGTGGCGTGGTGGTTAAGGTGCTGGATACTCCCACATGGCAGACCACGGTTTGAGTCCTGGACCTTGTGGCTTGCTTTCTCATTTCCCCTCTCTCTCTTTCTCTCTGTGTGTCTCTGTCAAATTAAAATGAATAAATAAAATTAAGTAATAATTAAAAAAAAGTCTCCTAAGAATGGTTTAGTAAGTTATGACACATGATACAGCTATTATGATAATGATGAATATCATACAACGATGTAGAAAAAGATATGATTTGAAGACTGACACCAAGTGCAGTCACAAAGAAATATGAGTGTGTGTGGATGGAGGTTAGATGGTGAGTGTAAAAGATAAAATAATTGCTCAATTAAAGGATGATGAGTATTTCTCTCCCAAAATTATTTCCGTTAGTACATCATCTTTTCAATAAAAAAAAAAAGTCTTATTGTAAGGCATACCAACTACCTGACAAGGTGTTTTGATCCCAAGAGGAGTGCCCCACTGCTGCAAACACACCTTGGAATTTACAGCAGAAATCACTGGTCAATGTAGATGAGTCCAATTTACAAAGCTTGGTTTGTAAACAAACTGTGACCTCTAGGGGGTATATAAAGTGGGATTGACCTGGGTCTACCGACTCAGAAAAAGAAATCCAGCAGGACCTGGTGAGCAATAGACCCTTGAGGACCACAGCCAGGTTGGTGTGAGACAGGAGCATGGTAAAGCCAGCTTGGTTAGTTTCTTTCTTTCTTTCTTTCTTTTTTTTTTTTTTTTTTTTTTTTTTTTAAGATTTTTGTGCGTGGGACCCCAAGATCCTGAGGAGCTGGAGAGGTGAGGAGAGACAGAGACAGAAAGTGAGAAATCAGCCCCCAGAGGGATGGCCACAGCTGCAGTGCCTCTTCTCCATCCCCATCCCGGGATTTTGGGCATTCACGCATGCACATGTGCCCGGTGTGAGTTTCGAGTCACTGAGTCTGGGACCCAAACCTTGGTCGACTATGTGGGAGTCCAGTGACGTAACCATTATGCCATCTGCTGGTCCCAAGCTTGGCTAATTTTTGAGGACCACGTTTTAAATTTTCAGGAATTTTTCTAAGCTGGATGCTAAACCTAGACATTATTAAAACTTAAATTATATAAACTGATGATTAAATAAATTATATTAAATTAATTTAATAAAAGTTGAAAACTCATCACTCCCTAATTATTTTCCTATGCTGTATTCTTCTTGAGGTTATTATGTCTATAGTATTTATTTATTAGGTGGAAACACCCTATGAGAGAGTGCTATTCTTCATCTCTTCCTAGCTCTGTTTGGCGACATCAGATTAGCCTAAGATTAGCCTTTGAAGGAGTATTTGCACCGGGAAAATCAGCAAAAGCTACAAATCATGGCTCTCTCACCCTCAACTCCTTCAAAGACAGTTGTTAAAAAGTTATGGGTAAATCACCATTTAGGGCCTCCCGACTGACTTCCGGCAATTCCATCACCCTGCCTTCAACAATCTGGGTCAACAGCCAGATCCAGCCGTTTGCTTTGCTGAAAGAATTATGCAGCCCCAGAAGTAAACCACCCGAGGAGACACTGGGCCCCTGGCACTCACTTGCAGTTCCATTCCAGCTGCATAGTGGGCGCAGTCTTCACAGGCCAGAGAGCCCTTGATTCTACTTACCTGGGTTTTTAGCAGTTCGGGCAGGGCTGGCATCAGGAGGCTTCTGACCGTGTTAGCTAAGGGGTTGACCAGGAAGGAGAGTCTTCCAGAGAGGAGGGTAGGAGAGAGATTAGGAAAGGTCAGAGATGTCTGCCCCTCCTCTACTTTACAGAGGGGTAGACTGAGCCAGGGAGTAGACTCTGAGCCAGGCGCAGTGACAGAGAGCTCTCAGGGAGCGGGGCAGGGGGTTGGGGGGATTGTCTGGGCATGGTCTTTAGGTCTTAGTGCTGGATATTGGGATGACAGCCGTTGGCATCTGTCCCCTGCCTCCTGCTAAGGAGAAGAGAATGATGCGCCGTGTTTCTGAGTGCCTGCCATGTGCTTATGCTATTCAGAGTGCTTCATAGCCGTGGCCTGGCTGAAGCCTCTCATGCTGCCTGGAAGGTCTCATCACCTGCACTTTCCAGACGGGGGGAGGTAAGATTCAGAAGCCGCCCTGTCCGACATCACCCACACAGCAAGTGAAGCAGATGCGTTTGCCTGACTCGAAGCCTTTGCTTTTACTCTTGCCTCCCCCAAACCTGCCTGGGGTGCTTGGAGGAACCCTTGGAAGGAGGCTCCTTGCCACCATCAAATGGTGCTCGCCTCTGGGCAACCGTGCCTGAAATCCCACCACTAGTGCCCTCACTCTTGAGTCTTGAACTTTCTTTGACATCACAGATTCCCTGGAAGGAGCCCTGAATCCAGAGCCAGGAGGGATGCATCCATTTCCCCACCTAGGCCCCAGTGGTCCCCATCTGTGACATGGGGAGAGGCTGCACCTGACCTCCCCCCGCCGGCTGGTGGTACGCACTTGTGCAGTAGGGTGATGCGCAGGCTTCCGTGGCTAATGGAACAGTCGCTGAGGGTGGGGTGAGTGGAGTGGGTAGAGCTGCTGTCCATTCGGATGACTGCTTGGGCCTCTGTCTCCAGGTGCATCTCCACGATGGTCTTGACCAGGGGTCTGGGGGACGGAGGGGCCAGGCCTCTGGGCAGCTGGAACAGCCTGCTGACGTCTTGGCCATGGCTCGCTCACCTCCCAGTGCAGCCTCCTCCACCGGCTTTTTCCCCCCCCCCTTC